CACACTGTTCACGAGCCGATTTTGAACACGAGCTGTTTCAAACGAGTTGAACACGAGCCAAGCATGAGCTTGCTCAAGCTCGATTCGTTTACCGCCCTACGGGTATGTCGCAAGCAAGGGCTTGCCACCCCCCACTTCTCAATAAATACCACCCCCCACCTCTCCCTCTCCTCCCTGTTCTCTTCCCTCTCTAACAAACCGACAAACTTCTCACCCCCTCTCTCTCTCCCTCTCCCTCTCTAACCAAAGAGCCAAAGAGTCATCTCACCCCACTCTCTCTCCCCGCTCTCTTTCTTTCTCTCTCTTCATATCCTTATTTCTATATTTGCTGCCACCAGAACAATTCTCCCTACCTCCCTACAAAGTAGAAAGCTCTATTTTCTGAAAAATCAAATGCATATTTGAATACTTCTTTTATAATTTTTTTTTTAATTTTATGGAGCTAATATTTCTTAAGCAAATTTTTTTTGGTCGTGATATTAATATTAATGAACAATTAAAATTTTATAATGTATTTAAGAAAATGAAAAAAATTAATTTTGCAATAAGTTTGTGACACTTAAAAGGCTTGCATGATGTTGAAACATGCAAACTACGAACTGTTGGACTTGTATTTGAGAACAAGAGATTCATGAATGGTTATATCTGAGAACCATAAATACTATGGTTTTTTATATCAAGATAAAAAATGTTATTATTATTCTTATTTAATCTAAAATGATATGTTTTTTCAACAAATTCGGTAGTAGTAATAATAATAATTATTATTAAATTTAATATTATTTTAATTTTGTGGTATTATATATTATTATTAGTATTTTTAATATTATTTTTAATATTAATATTAAATATCCATAATTTATCTTATTATTTTGTCTATTATTATCTTCTATAGTAATCCCTATTTTATTACTCTCCTTTAATAATTTTTAAAAATTTTACTTCATGTCTTTTCATAATTTTTTTTCAATGTTTAATTAATTTCTCTATTAATGTAATGTTTTTTCTTACATCTCTTCTAGTATAGTTTTGGCCAATAAAGTCATATCGAAAATCTTTGTTCCAAATTTAATACTACAATATATTATTAATTTGCATTATTATTTTTATTTTTATTATCTTATATAGAAATCTCTATTTTATTGCTCTCATTTAAATTAAAGATCATCCTATGACTCAATTTCAGTAGGCTTATAATCAAACTGACTGTTTTGATAAGTTAGGCCAATGAAGCAAGAACTGATTTGGTTCGAGTTTGATCAGGGATTTAGATGGACAATTGAATGACCAAATGAATTTTAAATCTGTCGAGCTTATAGATAAATCAAGTGTCTCATCAAACACAAATTCACTTAATTTTGGCATTATTAAAGTACTTAAATTCTCATAGAATATCATCTGATCAAAGGGATCACTTTGGGGCGTACGATGGAGTGGGGTGGATTCAAGCAGTATTTACAAACATTACACTCCCAAAATCTATAAATATAGCCTCCCTCTTTATGAAAGGGGACTTATGAACTATACCTAGATGAGGAAGCTAGAAGAGCTCCCAGCTCTTAAGGGTTCATGAGCTCCACCACCGTTGGATTGCCACCACTACCTTCAGAGGAACGTTGCCAGACAACCTCCATCGTTTCCTCTACCCAACCATTGCCCACCGGCCACCGACACCGCCAAACCGCAATTTCTAGGCCATTCTCGTTGCCTGGTCACCAGTGCCAACCACATGTCACTTTTAGGCCACCGCTAACCAGCCACTGCCATCTAGCTACTACTACTTATGACTCTGGTTTTAGATTTTTAGGCACACGACCCATACCATTAGTTTTTCTTCACAACATTATGTTTACTGTCACTTGTCAACATTTTTTGTCACTTCCATAGCAAAAGTCGCATCCCGCTTGAGAGACAAAGAAATAGAGGAAATACAATGTTTTTATTGAGATCTTTCTGAATACCATGTATGTAAAAACCCCTAGCTTCATTCAACAAAAGCAACATCATTCAATGTTTCAATACAAAGTCCAAAATAGCCAACCTAAACTATACATATAGCCTAAATCACCCCCCTTTCTTGTGTAATTGTTATCGTACTTGAGCTCAATATTACTTGTTCATGTATCAACATTTAAACACAAGTATTTAATGAACCATCCATATAGTCTTCACACTTTCGGATCACATATGTGCATTACATGCAGGTAGCTTTACATCTTTTTTATATCGCTGTGTATGGCTATGAAAAAATAGAGTATGTTCCCATCTTTATTGGGCTGCCATAAACAGTGCTTCACGTGTCCATTAAAAATTTTCATGCAATGCTGATATCTTCGTGAACTAGTTATTGTAACTTTATGTGTAGTGGCTTTGCTTGCAAAATTAAACGTGCCAAATATATAGCACATTTTCATAGCAAGTTTTCATTTGACATGTCATGTAAAAGGTAAAGTGTGGTTTATCAAAAACTAATAAACCATTTTCGCTTTTTTTTTTTTTAATTTGTCTTAATTTTCCTTTGAATTACATCAAAAAAAAAAGAATAGAACATAAGAAATGAGTGAGAGTGATAGACGATCATTTGAACCAATATCCCGCTACTAAAATTAAAAGAAAATCACAAAATTTTAAAACAAATTTACATTTTGATGTAATTTTTATTTAAAATTTGCATGATTCAATAAAAATAATCCCATTTTATAATTACTTCTAATATTGTTAACAAAAAAGTAAAATGTCGACTAGATAGTTAAGTGATATTTAAAGTCTATTATATATATAT